AACAGAACTGGCAGCGTTGTGAGGCAAGGGCTCAAACATGTACGGCTGTAAGCCTTCTACACCAAACCAAGCTTCTGCCGCCCTGGCATTCTCTTCCACAACAACTTCGTCTCCGCTTTCCTCCTCTAAATAAAAAATGGATGATGGAGGAGACTCATCCACGATCTCCGACACAAAACTCTCCTCCTCTTGCATGTTTCCGCTGTCCATAGCATTCCTTGACAGTGTCGTTTCTTGGTAACCAATTTAGTGCTACTTGATTTAGTGCTCCCAACGTAATTTTCCATTGAGAACCTTCTAGCACTAAGTTGCTAACTGGTTTGCAAGATGCTTCCGGCAAACCGGCCACAACCAAACTTGCTCCGCCACAACAATCCCACCCCCTTGATAAACAACCAGTCATATTCCCTTTATTCACTCGTGTTAAGTCGTGCACCACTCAGGAGAATTCGGAATTGCAACGGTTGGAACAGCTGCTTCCCTACGACTTTAAATTTTAAAAGTAAAGACACTTTACTTTTAAGTTTAAAAGTAAAGACACATGTATAAAGAAAACTTTATTTTGACAATATTGCACACATTGCTGTTTTCGGATTTTATTAATATGAGGGCTGTAATGTGTATGGGCTGCAGCAAATGTAACTGGTGAGCAATGAATGAAGCATCAAGTAATGAACCTTTAGGCAAAGCATTGGATTGGAAACCTTCATTCATTCATTCATGAGGCTTCAATTGGCCACCACTAGTTGTAGCAGATGCATCATCATCAACTTGAAGATGTCTTAATCGTTCAGATTAAAAGCACAGCACACACCCAGACATGCCATTACCGTCTACTATCTGTCTGCGATTGCCAAAAATTCCTGACGGAACTGTGCAAGCTGCTCCTGCTGGGCCTGTAGAGGTTCACCCTCAAGTCAGAAAGCGTGAAAACCACATGACCACACGCGGTTGATTTGGGCAGACTCTATAAACTACTACAGTCCGGGAAGGAGCGGGGGTTAAGAGGGGAAGGCACGGCCTGGCTTCAGCGAGGGTCAGTTCTCGGGAAAGTATTCAATCAGTTTGATACCACAGCACAGAACTTGATTAGCTTTTAGGTCGAGGGAGATTTACTCACAGAGACTATCAAAGCAGGTGCGTCCTCCTGCTGATAAGCCTTGATATCTGTAACGAGTTCCTCAAAAGGAGGCGAAACTCCACTCAGCGTTCAGCTCTGGAGATTTCTTTCTCCACAGTTCAGCGCTATGCACGGTGGGACACTGCGATCCGTGACTTTTGACACAGTAAAACGAAAGCTACTTCCAGCTAGCTTTCTTTAGCATTTCACGTGAAATGGGGTCTCTCCTTACAGGCGATGAAACCCAGGAAAAAGAGGAAGATTGAGGTCATGCTCTGAGTTTTAAACCCTGAGTGACGTAGGGGTATTTACTGTTGAAGTATCAGCTTCCTCTTGAGCTGACTGGTCCATGCGTAAACTGACCATTCCTTTAACTTGAATATTCCAGAACTTTCCAGAGGATCTGTTGTTCTCTTTTTGTAAAAGGAAAGGGGGGTGGTTTGAAATGGTTCATCCAATTGATTTGGACTCCATTGTGGCAATATATCCCAACACAAGATTGTAGACAACTGTAATGGTAATAAGTAGACAAAAACTCAATTTAACATTTCTCTTTGGTCACACTATTTTCAATCTTTTCTTGGGGTATGGTCAATTTTGTCCAAGCCTGATTCATTAATTTATTTTTTTTAATCAACATTTTGAAGCATGGTTGAAAAGTAATATCTGACTTTCATTTGTTTTTATTGGATTTTTATTCTGTTGTCAGATTCAAGTTATTTCAGTGACCTCTGTGGGTTTTTTTTTTATCATTAAACGAAGGCACCACGATTTCATACACTCCTGGGTTTATACTAAATGTCATGGTACTGAATCAATCCTGTTTTTAATTTCAGGTAAAAATGTCAATTGATAATGATACAACCTAACTTTAATGACATCTCATTTAAAATTACCAGGATGTGTCGGGAAAAAGGAAACAAGACAGACTTTATATTAAAAAAAGATTAACAACAATGCCTAGATCCTTTTGATTTATCTGCATTCTTGTCCTCACCTCTCTATCTGTCTCCTCTCCTAAAGGGCATCTGACAGTCTCTGTCAGACACTGACACAATGACTTCCCGATGCCTCACAAAGTGGACATTGGAGCTGTCATACAACCACCTCATACATCAAGGAGAAAAAAACACTGTGACATTAAAGTGCTTAAAAGTCACAACAACTAGGTGTGTTTGACATGAGGTTATGGAGAGTCATAACTTCTTATGAAATAAATCAAGCTCTAGTTTTACTTCTGTCACAATGATGAAACAATGTTGAAATGCAGAGGAATCGCAGGTCAAAGCTCCTGAAAGATAGAGATCCATCCATGGTTTTGCTATTATTATTTAGTGTATCTAAGCCTTTTTTCTATTTATAAAAAAGACTTAGTGGTCATGATTTTAAAGCTGAGATTGTAAAAGTCAAACAGGACTCTCTTACCATATCAGTGTAATGTTAGCTTCCACCCATCAATCTTTCTATGAGCAGAGAGTGAGTTGTAGTGGTTAATAGGTTGACTGTACTGTGCCTTGAGATGACATGTGTTGTGAATTGGCGCTATATAAATAAACTGAATTGAATTGAATAGATTCAGTTTAAAAAGCAAGCTAAAGCTTCCTTCAGATAACAATTTCCTGACCAGCCCTTAAGAGTGTTAGTAAAGGACAGGACAAGACCTTATTACTTTTTGTAATATTATTTGACATTTGAAAATATGTGAATTTTGATAGCAGAAATCAAGGTCAATGTAATAACAAGAAATGGTCACTTTAATATGTTTAAGAAATGACAGTGTTTCTATAAGAAAGTGATAGAAAACAAAGTTTTTGTTACAACATAAAATGCCATTAATGCTGATGCAGGCACGTACATTTTCTTACTTTGTAACTAACTTTTTCATGTTTGAACTTTACTTTTAAACTTTTCAAATAGCTTTTTGCCATTTTACCCAAACTTATCAAATACTTTTCAACTTAACTTACAGTAGGTAACATATCATCCATGTGGCAGTACAGTATATTTGCTGAATGGCTGGAAATAAATCTTGTGCTACTAGACCTCACTGACAGATTGGGGCTTCATTTGTAAGGGATATGCAAGTGATTAAAAGCGGTAATTTGTCCTTTAAATTGAGCAGAAATGCTATGTTTGCCTCTTACTGTAGCTCTGCCTATTGGGTGTTATCTGAATATGGGCAAGGCAAGGTACTAAGTCTGCATGTTTATTAAAAAAAAAAGCTATTATTAAAAGGTTCCTTATTGTTACTTATTTCAGAAAATGGAAATTGTGTGTTATATTGATTAATTACAGATGGAGTGAACTTTAACAGGTTTCTGTGCACAAACAAGGAATCTCACTTTAGTTTTCCTTTTCTTACATTTCAAACAACAGATACACCTTACTACTTCACTTCTCTACTGGACATCTTTCATGTTCACACGGCTTTTATTTCTGCTGGTAAGGGGTGGCTAGCCTCTTCAAGAGCTATCTTAGCAGTACTATGGCTTCTCTTGTCTCTCCTGAAGCTTTTTAAACTCTCTCCAAATCTCACCCTCCTCTCTCCTGCTCTCTCTGTCATATGTTCAGTTATTCGTCAGCCTTTTTATGCGATAATGTCAGATTTCATAAGAGTAGTAATTTTGTACTAGCTTTAGAAATGAGGATGTCAGAGCTAGAGTCCTGGCTTAGGGCCGTTTAGAGTTCAGTTAAAGTTTTTCAATTCAAAATGTCAAAAAAAGCACAGAGTTCAAGACTTTATGGAGTGGACAAAAAACAAAGCCTTGTTTTGGCCTAGAAAACATGCAAGTTTAAACGGACAAACAGGTCCGCCCCTGATGAATGGGGAGTCTTTATAGCTTCATCCAAATAACATTTCGTTTAGGGCCCCAATTTCAAACAATCACATAAGTACGGTGGCCCTGAAGTCCAAATCTCATCATTACTGTTTTGAACACAACATGCAAATACAAATAAAGACATCAACATTTACAGAAACACAACAAACTTGAAGTAATTTTGCTTTTTCTATTTAAATGTTGAATGAGCAAATATAAGCAGAATGACTTCTGGTTTAAAAGCCAAACTGTGCCATCACCCAATCAGTAAGGTCTCAGTTTTCCATTAATTTTATTATTTGTATAGATTTTGCCCATATTTAATGGGTAGATAATAGAATCAGTGTGAAGTGGTGAACCGGTGACTGGCTGATGACTTTATAGATTGATCCAAACAGATGAGCTGCTAAATATGCTGGATAAAATAAAAGTGTTTCTGAGACAAAGGGACAGAATACAAAAATAGTTTTAGTCTGGAACTACACAAACTGTAATTTGCCCACAATGGACATATTGGTATGCCTATCAGTGTTTATGACGGATTATCCATTTTAAAGCTCTGCCTTATAATAGGTGTAATTTACAGAATTGCCAGATGGAGGCACTGATAGCACATGCTTTTTCTCAGCAATGTGCTGCTGATACATATTTCAAACATTCTGCTGAAAATGAATGTACAATGATGTTTTTAATCAATACAATTAATAATGTTGGTAAAATATATATTATTTCTTTCCATATTCTGTGTTTATTTGGTCGTTTTTTAAACATATGTTAATGTGCAGTTTAGTTTAAAGCTAGCACCTGGATGTAAATGTTGATGAGCAATCTGTCAGCTCGTCTTCTGAATTTTATTAACTTAATTGCTTTCAATCCCTGAGATCAAATGACGCGACGGCATTAAGGCGCAGGCCTGCAAGTCATTACCCAGGGGGGAAATACACATCCACACACACAAAATCAGCTTCTTAATTGCAGGTTTCAAAAAGCTCTCCCGCACGCTCCAACGCGCGCGCGGAGCGCGTGCTTCTCTTTCATCTCCACCTGTTCACAGCTCTGCCCGCGCGCTTCGCTCCCTGCCGCTGCTGGTCATGGCTGCGCGCGCGTGAGGAAAATCGAAAGAGAGAGAGCTGAGCCTTTTACGCACAAAGTGCCGCGGAGTAGCCTCATATGACACCGCTGCAGCTCAGCGCAGGCTTCGGCTGGCCGCCCTCAGCCGCTGCTCAATGAAGGGATTATCCGCTCCCTCGCCTCATTTCGCAGATGCTTTTGCACGGATGCTCCCCCCCTCCATCAACCGTCCCTGTCAGTGACTCCATGTTCACCTCGCCAGGACTGCGGACGCTCACAGTCTATGATGCTGAGGGGGCTGATCTGAACGCATCTTGGGAATCAGTGGAGGCGCAGCTGGCCGTCTGGAGAAGTCTTTACGCCCGGATCGGGTTGAACACTGTGGGGCGTGAAGTCATGGTGTCCACGGCGCCGTGAGAACTTTACCTCCCCTCTTTCTCCCCTCCTGGCTTTTGGTTTTAGATGTTCATCATTGGGGTCGTGCTTCCTCGGGAAATTCTCCACCCGATTTCCCCTTCAATTATGTTTACTTTTGCTGCTTTCTGCTACATGCTGTCTCTGGTCCTCTGTGTTTCCCTTATCTTCTTCGCAATATGGCATGTAAGTATCATCAGACCGTGCTTGTTTTTCTTTTTTCCTACAGTGTTTTGTGATCGGAAGATGCGCAGGTGTGCCTCAGTCACCTGAAAAGCAGATGTTTCCTTCTGGATCAGACAGTTGCGCACCTGTATTACCCACAGACATCACCGTGGATCAGTATTACATCACAGTCCTCCTCACCTATGGCCACTTTATTTTGCCCCAGTTAGAGATTCCTGCATGGCTGCTGTCTGCCAGATCAATTACACAGCCTTCATCTGAGATCAATTAGGGAGTCTTGTAAAGGTTTATCTCCTCTCCTCACACTCCTGCTGCCTTTAATCATGCCCTAGCTATGCAGCACATCATCATCACTCACTGCAATATGATATCTGAATAATTTGAGCAACATCTCTATCATGCAGAGACTTATGTAAAGACAGATTTGGGTCAGAGTCTGCCCTTTATGAGGAAGGAACACCAGGCCTGATACACTTGAGGTGACCGATCCCCCAGCAGTCTCCACTAATTGTTCTGCATAACTGTGTATTTACCCAGGGTCCATGGAGGTGTCTGCTTACAAAGCTGTAATAACACTTAACAAAGCGACAGAGATGGCAAAACTGGAACTAATTATGCACAAAACTGCAGACCAGGCCAGAAAGAGGCTAAAACACCTTAACATGCTCCCTGATGTATAAAACAGGGCTGAAACAGATCAGAGTTGAATCATTATTCTCTGGTCTCAGCAGGGTTTCACATCGCACCCTGTTTTATTTTTCCATTCTGCTTGAGATGACAGAAAGAACGGAAAGATCTTCCTTCCCTACTTGCAGACACAGAGCATCATAAGCTGGGGGCTCCATTCTGCGAGGAGACATAATTAGGAAGAGGCTTTGCAGTGTGTGGAGCAGCACGAGCCAAGTGTGCACGTTAACACCAGCCACCTGCCAAAAATACTCCTGAAATTAGGCTCCAACTCTCTGTTTTCCATTCTGGCAGGAAACCCTTGCCTTTTCTTCATTTTACTTCAACATCTCATCTGAATCAAAGATTTGAGAAATGAAGGGAGATGAGGAAAACCCAAACTGATTCCAGCTCCCGCTTGGCCTCTTGGATGGTGAGGTTACTTTTTTTGGGAGGGCATCCCGAGCGGCAGTGCATTGCTAAAAAGAGCAAGCATGCTGAGTCAAACTGCCCAGAGCAAAACATTAGGCTCTGAATTTGATGAAAGTAAAAGAAGAACTGAGCAACAGAGCAGAGCATACTTAAGAAAACAGGACCAAGAAATGAACAGCCCTGACTGAAGCTCATTAGAAATTCTGCCAGCTGCTGGTATGAGTTCTGAAGCCATGGGTGACAAATGGCCTCACAAAGAAGGACATCCATCATTAAAGGATCATATAAATCAGCTTCCATAGTTCGGATGTAATTAGCTGCATGAATCAGTCTGATCTTGGAGCTTTGCTGTAATACTGCTTTAAAGCTACAGTGTGTAATAATTACAGGGATATACAGTCAGAAATGTAATATATTATACATAACTATGTTATTTATCATCATCTACGAGCTCAGCCTCTTAACCTTAATATTTGCGTTGCCTTAGAATTCGTTATTTATAATTACATAGGAGCGGGTCTCGCAGCCATGGAGGCAGACATCTTTGCGCTACGGCAGCGCAGAGCCAACAAACTAGCGATTGCGAGATCGCCAAAACGCCAAAACCTCATCACTTGAGAAGGTAGGTGATGCGGACGTCGTGGAAGACATTTTGTCCCGTAACGCTCGCCGTACTGTTGGGGGGGAGAAGCGGTGGGGGGGAGATGTTCATGTTGCTGCAGTCTGCAGTCTGACCGCTAGATGTCGCTAAAAGTTACACACTGTAGCTTTAAAGATTCCAGATACGGTTTGTAAAGCTTTAGGCTCAGAACAATCATCCATCTCTAAATAGGATATAATCATCAGCATTAATAGTAGCAGGGTGCACCAAGTGTCTATGTAGCTTCAAGAGTATGTCACAGTGATGGGAGGCAGGTCAGTGCAGTGATTTAACTCCTGCTTTCTCTTTGGTTTACACCAAAAATTTTATTTTTAAATACTTGTCAAAAAAAGGTAATTTATTTAATTCCTTTCTACCATCCCACCCCTGCAATTAATCTGGTTCCTCCTTAGGGATGCTATGAAACAGCGTAGAATCACCGTTTTAATAATCTTAATTGTACAAGCTGTCTACATGAGGGGTGAGGTTGCTTGAGGAACCGAATGCAGAGATGATTTAGGCCGAGATGAGTTCTTGTTAGTTTGATAAAGCAAAATCCAAAAATCCAAATACAAAATACAAGCACCAAAAATCAGCAAACGTCAGGGAAAAACTCAAACGGGGGAGCCAGAGCTGAGGAAGCAACAAGGAACCAGCATGACTGAACATGAGGTGTATAAATGGGAGACTAAACTTAGACCAGGCTAATCAGCATTCATGGAGCAGGTGTGGATGGAAGAGACCAGAAGGGAACTAGGGAGGGCAACCGAAGACTGCTTAAACTTACATAAACTGGAAAATAAACTGAAGTTAAACAAAACAGAATAACTGAAAAACAAAAACAAAAAATTCCCAGAAGAGTAGAACCATAACATAAGCATTTTTTAGCTTTTAGTAAAGATAAAATTGCACAAACTAAAGAATAAATGGGTCAGACCTCTGAGTCCTGATTGCTGAGTTGTTTGACCCTGTAGTGTTTTTTTTTTTTTTTATTATTAGGGCTGCAACAACGAATCGATAAAATCGATAAAAATCAACTTTTAAAAGCATTGGCAACGAATTTCATCATTGATTAGTTGTGTTGCGCGATTAATGCGTCATCCGCCGCCGCCGTCATCACTGCCACTTGACTGAAACGGGGGAAGAAGAAAAAAATACGGCAGAGCGAGCCAGCGCCACAGGTGAGCAAAGGCTGTTTTCAAAAGGCAGTAACGTCAACTGTTCTAACGCAAACTGCGTCTCAATTCGCAGACAGCGAAAAAAGTCGTAACATGCAACTTTTGTAAAAACAAATGAACATGGCAGGGAAGCACCACTGTTATGATGCAGCACCTGAAAAGAAAACACGTTGGAGCCTTC